AGTGAATTAATGCTTTGGAAAATAAGAGGTGGGAATTTTGTTGCCAAACCATTCACAAACATTGATATTGAGGAAATACATTAAGTAATTCAAAAATATTTCCACAACTTATTATTAAAAGAAAAATATTAGAAATGTATGTACAGGTCTATGATATATCTATCTACCCAAAAGTTTCAAAGTCTGTACCCTAAAGTACCCCCTCTCCCCTTCCCACACTCTGACTTCATAGCGCAAGTGAACACGCGTGCCTAAGCATATGCGTGCGTGCGTGTGCAAGCGCACGCGTGCGTGCACACACACACACCATAGCAGGCCAAGCTGAAGTTCCTGTTATGAGGCTAAGATGAAGCTTAACTGTATTATCTAATTTTCTACAATGAAAGGTATACTTTTAATAAGGAAAGACAAAAAAAAATCAACAAAGCAATCTACCTTTTTTTTGGTATAACATAAATTGTTGACACAGCATGTACAAAATGAACCTACATCTGTTTGAAATAAATATATACAAACGGAAAAAGACTGTGGAAGGTTATACTTTCATGTGTTTAATTGGCTGATGTTTCCTGAAAGAACTCATTCATTCATCCATTCACCATGTATTTATGCAGCACCTACTGTGTACTAAACTCTGGTAGCCCAACTACATACCCCAGTGTTAGATCTCTTTCCTGAATCCAAGTCCTATCTATTTGACACATCCAGGAGATTGTTCTCGTAACTGATTTTTTTTTTTTTTGGTTAAAAGCAAGTAATTTTCAAACTTTGTTTGATTCTTGGTTGCCCTGATAGATTCTGTGACCCTCCCACTCTCTCACTATCAACCTGCTAAAAGTAATCGTTAACACCACTGCTGTACTTGATGGCTTCTAGACAGGAGAGGGGAGGAAAGGGAGTATTGAAATGGAGGCAACCCTGCAATCTCTTAGATTTTCCCTGCCTCCAACATCTCCATTCCAGTGCTTCAGTATCCGAGGATAAATAGCTTCTTCCTTCATCATGGAATACTGTCTTTAATTTCTTCCCTATCGTCTCCCCTTTGGGTAAACTAAATACTAGAATGACCTACAAAGATGATTTGGGAATTTACCAGCAAAGAAGGGAAGTAAAGACACATTCTTAGCATGTAAAAGTCCCCGTGCCCTTGATAAGGTAGTTTCTCAATAGAGTTATGAAGGGAAAAGAAAACATGAGAGAATATGGGAGGTGTAAGAGCTTGAGCAAAGACACGGGCCTAGGGATACAAGGTGTGGACTTCAAGAAAGCCACTGGGGAGAGAAACTCTTGACAAGGGTCAGAGGTGCTCCTTCCTCTAGGAGGAGCGTGTCAGGGTCAGCAACTCAGCCAGATTTCTGTGCCTACCATACAGGAGGTTTGATATAAAAGTGGAAAAACATATTCCCCAAGCTACTTTCTCATACTCTTCTCTCAACAATTAACCTGCTTCATCTTTCACTCTTTTGAAACCTATTAGGTTGAACGTTATGATGTTGCTGATATGTGCCTGTTTCCAATTTCATAGAATTCAACCTATGATCTCTTAGACACCTACTGTGTGCCAGGCACTGGGCTAGATGGTGATATGCACTGGTGAATAAAAGAGACATAGTCCCACTGAGCATTGAACGTATGGTCTAGTGGAGGAAAGAAACGTTAAACAAATATGTAATCCCAAATTAAGAGAATGGGGTTCTATGAGAGATAACAACATAAGGAGATATTCTAGACCAGGGAATGAGAGAGAGTTCTATTTTCAGGACCTTGAATATTCGTTAATTAATGTCTATTCTGGATGCATTTTCATCACTGAGCCAGATGGATGTTAAGGTGAGAACCCCCTTTAGCTCATTCTGCTTTGTGTTTGCCCAGTTTTTGCATCTTTCTTTCTCTCTTATGCCGCCTCTTACCCTATACTTATGTCATCTCGACCATCATTCCTTTCTCTAAAATCTCCTAAAATTTGTCCTTGGGCTTCTATCTGTTTTAATCTCAAGCCACTTAAAGGATCTCCAAAAATCTTGCTCACATGGGCATAATGTTTTTATCATTTCCCTTCCTGAATCACCTTCATGCCTATTTCTTTGTTACTGCTACTCTCCGTGGACCTTGATTGGAGTACAGGTTGTCCTCGACTTAGGACATATTTAAGTTACAACAAACCACACTTAACGACCATCCTTTTTTATGGTTTGTGTATTTTTACGTATGTATGTATTAAAACGTATCTGTAAGTTTATCTGTAATGTTTTTAACCCCCAAAGACAAAGATCAGATTTATAAAGATAGTCATAATAAAAGGCAATAATAATGAAAACGTAAAAAAAAATTAGGTATTTGACTTACGTCAGAACCAATTTACTACTGAGTCATCGGAATGGAACCCAGTCGTAAATCAGGGATTACTTGTACTAGCTATTCTCAATCCCTTCAGTATCCCATTTCACAGATAATCTCTTGCTTTATCCACAGAGATGGTAAACTATGCCACTGTCTTATCAGATTTATCCACTTATAACCCTCAGAGGGCATCCTCATTTCCAAGATTTTGAGTTCTGGGGACCCATTAATTATTCATACACCTGCTGGTTCATCCTCCTCTCTCAGTCCTAGGTTTCCTTTAACAACACTGTAATATATCTTTTCATTGCAAGTACTTACTCAATCACAAGGGTAATTGGTTATGTGGTGATTTATTTCTGCATCTCTCCAACTTTATCAGCCTGGCAGCCACTTTTTCTAGCAGAGACTTTTTCTTCTAAACAGTAGATTTTTGACAAATCTGATTAAATATAACTGTTTTTGCCAAGACTTTCCCAAAATATGTCAGAGTATCAGATGAATGTTTTTTGGCTACTAAGTTGTGTGTGAGATGCCCCTCCCTCATCCTTACCATACCCTGACTGAACTTTCATTGCACAGACCAGACCAGCTCTTCTCTTAATATTTGCTACACTTTCAGAATCTCTGGCCCCAGGCTGCTGTGTGGGGTATGGGGCTATTTTCTAAACATGTACTTTTCTGTCAGCTTCTCATTAGAAAGCTTTACATGAGGTTATTCTTGTTATTTGCAACTTGATGAGGCCACTAATGTTGCTCAGGCACCTGATTTATTTTGTGTTGGTTGATACAATTGGGGTTAAAAAATTGAGGCCACTGGAAATTTGAACACTGACTGGATATGAACAATTGCCCATTTTTATGTATGATAATAGTACTGTGGTTATGTTTAAAAAGTGTCATTATCATTTAGAGATACATACTGTATTAGTTATCTATTGCTGTGTAACAAATTACCCCAAATTTAACAGCTTAAAAAAACATACATCTATTATCTCACAGATTCTGTGAGTCAGATGTCTGGGAGTGGCTTAGCTGGGTCCTCTACTTCAGGGTCTCTTACAAAGCTGCAATCAAGAAGCTGGCCAGGGCCAGTATCTCATCTGAAGGCTCAACTGGGCAAGGACATGCTTCTAAGCTCACTTATGTTGTTGGCAGGATTCAGTTCCTTGAGGGCTGTTGGACTGAGGGCCTCATTTCATCAAAGGCTGTTAGTTGTATGCCACTCTCAGTTCCTTGCCTTATGGACCTCTGTAACATGGCACTTGTTTCATCAAATCTAGCTAGAGTCTGCTAGCAAGACATGAATCACAATCTTCTGTAATCACAGAAGTGACATCCCATCACTTTCATTGTATTCTATGGGTTAGAAGTTTAAGACCTAGCGATTTTTCCAACACTTAAGAGGAGTAATTACACAAGGGCATGAATATAATATCCAAGGGTAACTTGAAATCTATGTATCTTTTATTTTTTTCAATAAGAATTTTTAAGAGCTTCCATGGCATTTGTAAGTTCACTGAAGAATTCTTTGGCTCTGTTGTTTTTATTTCTTTTTAACATAAGTAATGAACGTTCTTTAAGAAAAATACAGTTGAGTACAAAGAAAAAAAATCACCAAATATCCCACAAGAGATAACCACTATTAACTTTTTAGTGTATGTACTTTCAATTTTACTTTTTATGTAGTAAAGCTAAAGTTATTTTTAATGTCCTCATCCTCTACATTTTAACCATCTCCACTGAATTCAGATATACAACTTTATGTTCTTCTGGTTATTATGATTCCTATTTAAGAATTGAGATCATAATAAATACATGCACACCAGTGGCCCTTTAGGCTTTAATATGCATCAGAATCACCAGGGAAGCTTGCTAAAATTGAAAGTTCTGGAACCTCCTTCAGTAGATCTAGGGTGGGACCAAAGAATCCACATTTTCAAGAGTCCCCTCACACAGGTGGTAGATTAGCATACTGTTAGAAACAGTAGGACATTACTAAATAAATCCAGTGTTCCTTTAGGAATTGCAAATCTCTTCTAGAGAAGTGAAATTATACATCCAAGTTTATTTATACAAGGACTGAACTGAGACAAGTACTCAGAGCCCCTGATTCAGTCATTATTAATTATACTTTTGTTAAGTGCCTTCCTCTTGTCAGGCAGAAAAGTAGCAGCATGCCCAACAGACATTGCAGTCCTGAAGGGAGGAGAAAGGGTGTTGGACTGGTGAGACCTATCTTTGGACACTCTGTGCAATGTTTGAAGGGAAAATCTGAGGATACAGTGTCTTGTATAATAGGCAGGATGGGGACAAAAGGCAGGTAAAGACAGGTTACATATTCATAATTTCATTTCAAACTTCTGTGAAGCACATATAGTTCCCAATTTATAAAGAATTCCTCGTTTTATTCATATGGCTAAGATATTAAAATTTGGTGACAAAGGATTTATTAAGTGACCCTACTGCTTTTATAAGGTCATAAAAAGGTCATTTATTCTCAAACTACAGATAATAAAAAAGGAAACACATCAATCCATCTCTTAGAAATGAGCCCCCGTGTTAATCCTTTGGTATATCTAATTTCAGCATTTTTCTGTTCATATATTAAATATATGAATGTAAGTTTTAAAATAGAAAAGAATACAGACTGCTTTTTTAAACTGCTTTATTAACTTCACAATATATAATGAGCATGTTTCCAGGCAATAGGTAAAACTCCCCTGCTGACAGAAACTTACAGACTGGGTCAAAAACACGACATTCAGTTAGAAGCTGGTAATAGGAGACCCATCAGAAACAAGCAGCATCGAAAGGTTTACAACAAAGGTGCCTTACACACGTAAGTTTAGGAAGCAGGGGTCTACCTATTAACATCAGAATTCATGGCATAAGGCAAAACTCATCGTGATGGTCATGGTGAGGGGGGTCAGTGCTAACTGCCCGCAGACTATGACTCAATTGCTTTCCCCTCAGTTTTTCCATCAGCTGTCTCACCTCCTCCCCAATCCTTTCTACATTCTCTTCTCTCATCCTTGCCTGTGGCTCTCCAAGCCTCTGAATCATGTCCCATCTATACTGCAGGATGGGCTGCCTAACTCGGAGTTGCCTATGGCTTCCTCTAGGCACACAGTATTCACCAGCTTCCAAAGGGAGTGCCAAGGGCTCTGCTTTGTTAGCGTCTTGCTCCTTTTCGTCCTTTTCTTCATTTTCCTGGAGGGCATTTTCCACATTCAGATTTTTTCCTGCTTGTTTCTCTTTGGACTCCATTATTCCTGTGAGACAACCGCGAGAGAAGGAACTGAATGCTTCGTGGACAGATCAGCACCAAGGACAGAGACTCTACTGAGCACTTTTCAAGATTCAGAGCCCTAGATATTCAAAGTTTTTTAAATTTCATTTTTCCCACCTGAAAGGGCTCGCACGCCCTCTACGGGGCTCCCAGTCCTCTCCCCTCCCTCCCCAAGCCCACCATTTTTCCTGCCGCTGCAACACCAGGCCTTTGCAGGTACTAAAATGGAGGACAGGGCGGGGTGGGGGAGATGTAAAAAGGGTCTCAGTCTGGGCTCTGCCCCCCCCACCCCTCCCCCACGGTCCCTCGCACCGACCTGGGCCTATCCTGGCAGTCTCCTCCTCCTCCTCCCGATCCTCACCGCCAAGTGCGCAGCCGTGACCCTCAGACCTGCAGACGGCGGGGGGCGGGGTGAGGGAGGCTGCTGTGGCCAAGCTCGGCGCAGCCCTGCCACCACCTCGGCCCCTCGGCCCCGGGTTCCCCGCCCGCCGCCTCCCGCCCCCCTAGCGGTCCCGTCCCCCGCGGTGTTCGCCGTTTTTCCTTTGGGGACTTGAGGATGATTTCCCAGCGCTCTCTTAGTTGCTCTGCTGCCCTCGCCGGAAGCCCAGCCACTCCTGCGCCCCCCCCACCCCCGGGGGCCACCATTTCTGTTCCCAAGAAGGCCGGGTGTGGGGAAAGCTGGCCGGGACTCGCCGCGCTGTTCCCCAGCGCCCGCCGCAAGCTCAGCGGGCGACTGCGGTTGGCGAGGCGCGCGGGCCCCCGGCCTTACCTGCTGCGGTTTGCCCGGGCCCGATGCCAGTCCGCCGTGCGCCGGGCAGCGGGGAGCTGGTACCCAGACTGGAGTGACGACTGCACCGGAGGCTCCGCCGCTCTGCAGCTCCCGGTCACGTGAGGGCTGCGCGTCACCGCCGAGCTCGCCCTCCCCTTCCCCCTGGGGACCGGCAGTGCAACAGGACCCCCGAACTCCCCACCCCGCCACACACACACGCAGACACCTCCCTCCACCCCTCCTTGCGCGGTGCCGCTGTCACTCATCTCAGTTCTCTCCAATCCCAGGGGCCACAAGTGGCATCACCGCCCTGCGCATGGAGTTTGCGCTTTGGTTACCAAGGAGGTTCTGCGCCCCCGCCCCCCGCCCCAGGCCTTGGCCTTCTCTGCTTTCTCTCCTATTCTCCCTGGCCACGTGTTCCCCCCACACACCATATACACCCTGCACACGCACAGCCACCAATGTCCACTATGTCCCCTGTAGTCACACCCTTCTAGGAAATTTAGAATGAGGGCTGGGGTGGGGAGGGCAAAGAGGAATTGTCGGAAAGGAAGTCAGGGAAGCGCAGTGGGCTGTATATATCTTTCCTAATAATTTCTTTTTTTAAATTAGCATGCCTCAAAAAATTTAAAAAAACTAGAAAAATTTCATTTCTGCTTTTCTTTTTTTTATTTTGCTTTAAGTGAAAGTTTACAGTTTAAGTTAGTTTCTCATACAAATATTTATACACTCATTATGTGACTCTAGTTGCTCTCCCTATAATGTGACAGCACACTTCTTTCCTTCCTGGGTTTCCCATGTCCATTCAACCTGCTCCTGTCCCTTTTTGCCTTCTCGTCTCAGCTCCAGATAGGAGCTGCCAATTTAGTCTCATGTATCTACTTGAGCTAAGAAGCACACTCTTCACGAGTATCATTTTATGTCCCACGGTCCAGTCTAATCTTTGTCTGAAGAGTTGGACTTGGGAATTGTTTTAGTTTTGGGTTGACAAACGCTTCCAGCGTTGTCCCTATTTTTTCTTCCATGATCTTTATCATTTTTGATTTTATATTTAGGTCTTTGATCCATTTGGAGTTAGTTCTTGTGCATGGTGTGAGCTATGGGTCTTGTTTCAGTTTTTTGCAGATGGATATCCAGTTGTGCCAGCACCATTTGTTAAAGAGACTGTCTTTTCCCCATTTAAGGGACTTGGGCCTTTGTCAAATATCAGCTGCTCATAGGTAGATGAATTTACATCTGGATTCTCAATTCAGTTCCATTGGTCTATGTATCTGTTGTTGTACCAGTACCAGGCTATTTTGGCTACTGTGGAGGTATAAGAGATTCTAAAATCAGGTAGTGTGAGACCTCCCACTTTGTTTTTCTTCTTGAGTAATGCTTTACTTATCTGGGGCCTCTTCCTTTTCCACATGAAGTTGGTGATTCGTTTCTCCATCTCATTAAAAAATGCCGTTGGAATTTGGATCGGGATTGCATTGTATCTGTAGATCGCTTTGGGTAGAATTGACATTTTCACAATGTTGAGTCTTCCTATCCATGAGCAAGGTATGTTTTTCTACTTATGCAGGTCTTTTGGTTTCTTGCAGTAGTGTCTTGTAGTTTTCATTGTATAGGTCTTTTACATCTCTGGTTAGATTTATTCCTAAGTATTTGATCTTCTTGGGAGCTATTGTAAATGGTATTAATTTTGTGATTTCCTCTTTGAAGTTCTCTTTGTTGGTGTAGAGGAATCCAACTGATTTTTGTATGTTTATCTTATATCCTGATACTTTGCTGAAATCTTCTATTAGTTCCAGTAGTTTTCTTGTGGATTCTTTGGGGTTTTCTGTGTATAAGATCATATCATCTGCAAATAGAAATACTGTTATTTCTTCCTTACCAGCTTGGATGCCATTTATTTCTTTTTCTAGCCTAATTGCTCTGACTAGGACCTCCAGCACAGTGTTCAATAAGAGTGGTGATAAAGGGCATCCTTGTCTGGTTCCCATTTTCAAGGGGAATGCTTTCAGACTCTCTCCATTTAGGATGATGTTAGCTGTTGGCTTTGTGTAAATGTTCTTAATTATGTTGAGGAATTTCTCTTCTATTCCTATTTTGCTGAGAGTTTTTTTTTTTTTATCATGAATGGGTGTTGGACTTTGTCAAATGCCTTTTCTGCATCAATTGATAAGATCATGTGGTTCTTGTCTTTTGTTTTATTTATGTGATGGATTACATTGATTGTTTTTCTAATGTTGAACCATCCCTGCATACCTGGTATGAATCCCACTTGGTCATGTTGAATTATTTTTTTGATATGTTGTTGAATTCTATTGGCTAGAATTTTGTTGAGGATTTTTGTGTCTATGTTCATGAGGAATATTGGTCTGTAATTTTCTTTTTTTGTGGTGTCTTTACCTGGTTTTGGTATCAGGGTTATGCTGGCTTCATAGAATGAGTTTGGGAGTATTCCATCCTTTTCTATGCTCTGAAATACCTTTAGTAGTAGTGATTTTAACTCTTCTCTGAAAGTTTGGTAGAATTCTCCAGTGAAACCGTCAGAGTCAGGGCTTTTTTGTTGTTGTTGTTGTTGTTGTTGGGAGTTTTTAAATTACCTTTTCAATCTCTTCTTTTGTTATAGGTTTATTTAGTTGTTCTACCTCTGTTTATGTTAATTGAGGTCGGTAGTGTGTTTCTAGAAATTTGTCAGTTTCCTCTAGGTTTTCAAATTTGTTGGAGTAAAATTTTTCATAGTGTTCTGTAATGATTCTTTGAATTTCAGTTGGGTCTGTTGTGCTGTCACCCATCTCATTTCTTATTCGGGTTATTTGCTTCCTCTCCTGTTTTTCTACTGTCGGTTTGGCCAAAGGGTTATTGATTTTGTTGATCTTTTCAGAGAACCAGCTTTTGGTCTTGTTAACTCTTTCAGTTGTTTTTCTGTTGTCTATTTCATTTAATTCTGCTCTAATTTTTATTATTTGCTTTCTTCTGGTGTCTGAGGGCTTCTTTTGCTGCTCTCTTTCTATTTGTTTGAGTTGGAGGATTAATGTTTTGATTTTGGCTCTTTCTTCTTTTTGGATGTGTGCATTTATTGCTATAAATTATCCTCTGAGCACTGCTTTTGCTGTGAAAGGTTCTGGTAAGATGTGTTTTCTTTATCATTTGATTCTGTGAATTTCTTTATTCCATCCTTAATTTTTGGTAACCCAGTAGTTTTTGAGCAAGGGGTTGTTCAGTTTCCATGTGTTTGATTTTTTTTCCTTGCTTTTTCCGTTATTGATTTCCACTTTTATGGCTTTATGGTCAAAAAAGATGCTTTGGATTCTGTTAAGGCTTGCGTTATGGCCTAATATTTGGTCTATTCTGGAGAATGTTCCATGTACATTGGAAAAGAAAGTATACTTGGCTGCTGTTGGGTGGAGTGTTCTGTATATGTCTACAAGATCAAGTTGTTTGATTGTGGCATTTTGATCTTTCGTGTCTTTATTGAGCTTCTTTCTGGATGTTCTGTCCTTCATGGAAAGTGTTGTGTTGATGTCTGCTACTATTATTGTGGAGCTGTCTGTCTCTCTTTTCAATGCTGTTAGAGTTTGTTTTATGTATTTTGGAGCCCTGTCTTTGGGTGCATAAATATTTATTATGGCTATGTCCTCCTGGTATATTGACCCTTTAATCATTATATAGTGTCTTTCTTCATCCTTTATGGTGGATTTTGCTTTAGAATCTATTTTGTCAGAGATTAATATAGCCACTCCTGCTCTTTTTTGATTATTGTTTGCTTGATATATTTTTTCCAGCCTTTGAGTTTTAGTTTGGTTGTGTCTTTAAGTCTAAGTGTGTCTCTTGTAGGAAGAATATAGATGGATCATGTTTTTTTTATCCATTCTTCCACTCTGTCTCTTCACTGGTTCATTTAGTCCATTTACATTCAGCGTGATTATTGATAGGTATGAGTTTAGTGCTGTCATTTTTATGTATTTTTTTTGTGTGTGTTATTGACAGTGTCTTTGTCCCACTTAATTTTCTGTGCTGAGTCATTTTTCTTTATGTATTTTCTTTTCGTCTTTTTCACTGTTGTTGATTTTGTATTTGCTGAGTATGTTTTTCTTGTTTTTTATTTTGATGTGTAGGATTGTTAGTTTCCTTTGTGGTTACCTTAATATTTGCCCCTATTTTTCTAAGTTTAAACCTATATTTTATTTCTTTATATTACCTTGACTTCCTCTCCATATGAAAGTTCTGTGACTGCATTTTTTTTATCTCTCTTTATTT